AAAAAAAAAAAAAAAAAAAAGAGTGTCATAGGTAAATTCTTTTCTTTTCCTTCTTTTTTCCTTTTTTTCTTTTTTGGTTAGATTCTCTGGCCCCGCACTTAGTGCCAACGGACTGTGATAGTCCTCTGGATACCCCTGATCGGTATTAGCAGGGTCTATGACAAACATGGGTGTGAGCRCGAGCACGAGTGGGTTGCGTGTGGTGTGTGGGAGAGTGTTGGCCATAGCCTCTGCTGCTACTCAATGAGGGGTGGGGGACGATGAGAAAGGGAGGCGCAGCTACTGGTAAAATKCTCTGTCTTTGTGTTAGCYGGACCCCCACYGGCGGCCCCACCCCATCTCTGACTACCGCTGTTGGGGCGGGGGGCAACATGCAATCCCTTCTTTGTGAGGTAGCTATGGTTGCAGGGGTCCCCTCTATATAGTCTTAGGCTTGGACCCCACTGCTCGGCGGTTGGAAAACATGTTCGGCCACGAAAAATGGCCAACGCCGTCTGGAAAACCATTTCCAGAAAAAGTCRAGACCCCACCGCCATGGTCTTGCCAGCCTCTTGGAAAATGACTTCCATTCCCGAAAAGGAAATATGGGTAGGTCGCCTCCCGAAATGGAAAGTSTGGTGAACCARGTGGTCCAGCTCCTTGAACCAGCRGCAGAAGTGCGGGACGTCGTGGTCGCACCGCGACCGACATGCCGTGGAACTGTGTGGCACTGTCCCCTGCCGGTATACGGTGCCCTGAGTGTGAAACTAGCCGTTGARGAGGCTCCCGGCGGCGTTTTCAAATTCGTTTTCGATGAAATGCGGTCCATTATTCGGAAGTGACACCTGCATAGCCGAGAGCGCCGTGGTGATGTGACCACTTCGGAGGGCATTCGGGAACTGCGTCCATTCGCTCCATATCCGCGGGGGAGAGGTATGCTTGTGTGGGAGGCGTGTGGTGGCCCGTCGTGTGGTGGTTTGCAAACTGCTGGCAATAGAGGAGATGGACAGTCCGGTTCCATCTGCAAGTTCTTTACAGGAGCGGGAAGACATGCTCTTCTTCTTGSTTTTCGCCATAACCCAGTAAGTGCACAGGCGCAATGCGGCGGCCATGGCCGTCCTCGAGGCTGTCGCATTCGCCCCRTTCCTGTTCGGGGACGCGGCGAYGTCGTTGCCGCTCCTTGCAGGCGGGGTGATGCACGAATTCGCTCTCGCCAGTTTGGCTGCGGAGGAGTTGGGAAGACGCATGGAGCRCCGACGACGGATATGGGTCGTGGAACGAAGYGGGGGTGTGTGGAGGGATTTGCAGCGAGTTGGGCGTGAACACGACAAGGTGTTTGTCCGATTCTGCAGACTGCCTCGCCCGCTATTCTTCRAAGTGCTGGGTAGAATTGCACCCCATATCCAGCGAGCCCCAAYGAWSTTCTGGAATCCTATTCCTGCTGGTCAGAAGTTCGCTATGGCTCTCATTAGGTGGGCGACCGGYGGGTATTACCGGCAGACCTCRCATGGCATGGGCATGGGGCTTGCCAGTGCCTTGTGTTGCAACGAAGAGGTCGCGGATGCTATCATCAGTGAGTATGGCCATCTCCTTCGGTGGCCGACTGGCCCTCGAATGCAGGAAGTGGAGAACGCTTTCGAGGCGAAAGGGTTCACTTGTTGCATCGGGGCAATTGCTGGCACCCATTTGTACATCGACAAACCGAAGGGTATGCGYGGGGAATGCTACTACCATCACACAGGACAGTTCTCTGTCGTGGCACAGGTAGTTTGTGACCACAAGTGCAGAATCACTAGTGTTTACGTGGGGTGCCCAGGGTCTGTGCATGACTCGAGAGTTTTGCGCATTTCGGAACTGTTCCGTCAGGTCTCGMAAGGGGCAGGTGTCTTCAGCGAGGGAGGTGCTCACCTGCACGACGGCAGACACGTGGGACAGTATGTGCTTGGTGATCAAGGTTACCATCTCCTGCCATGGATCATGACACCTGTCGGGAGGACGGCTACAACAACTCAAGAACGAACCTACGACAATTGTCACTCGGCGGTGCGGTCTTGCATCGAGCGCTGCTTYGGCCGACTGAAGGCTGTGTGGAGGAATTTCATCCGACCGCACATCAGCAACATGAAAACCATTTGCAAGGAAGTGATGGCAATCTGCATCCTCCACAACCTGATGATCAAGCACAGGGTGGAATTTGACCCTGGTGTGCTCGATAGTAGCAACGACAGCGATGGTGACGACGATCATCGCAGACGCCGTCGTCGGCGTCGTCGGCGGAGAGATCGTCGTCGTTTCGTTCGTCACATGCCCGACCTCAACGTCGAGCCCATGGTGGACGATGACCCTACAAACAGGTCCGCGCTAGGGGAGTTGGTTCGCAGGAGTCTGATCGAGCATGTGGACCACCACGTGGCTGTTCATGGTGCGCCGCCATGTCCGTGGCGATAGTTGACGACGTGGATAACATGACACGTAGGATTTTGGGATAGAGGCAGGGAGTGGCAGCAGGAGCGGGTCCGGGGTCGGGTCGGATCGGTAGTTCATAGGGTTCCGGGTTTGTGTGCGAGATTGTCATAATTTCAGTCAAATTTAGTGATGG